AATCTAATTAGAAATTATTTGCAATTGCCCATTTCTTTTTCATTCAATTCCAAAGTAAATATTTAATAATGTAAAACCGCAGTGTGATAAATGTGAACCCACAATTCATTTACATATTATAATATATAAATGTTTAACAATATTCTTGAGGGTGCTTTCTATATAAAGATTATGCGTTTCGCGAATTTCTTCTGTATCCAGATTCATTCTTGGAATGCCAACATTTCATGAACATTGCAGTCCGCTTCATCAGGGCGAAAAGTAGCCTGATACTGAGCTGTTTCTCCGGCCTCCGGGCCTTTTATATTATGCTACTTGTTAGAGTGATAGGGGGGAAAGAAGAGAGAAAGGAGGAGGAAATTGGTCGATCTTCAATAACTGGGAGAATGATTTTGCATATTTTATTTATGTGTAGCCATTATCTCTGTTTAGATTGTTAGGGTGTTTTTATATCTCTATGGCTTCTCTATACTTTCTTGGAAAGTATGATATAATGTTGGCTATTGTGATCGTTTTATCACATATTATTTGATGTTCTGTTTCGATGTTGTGTTCTGATAATGCTGACTGCATGACGTGTTTTAGCCTGACATCACGTTGGTATTCTTTATCCGTAGGTTAATTTCTCCCAGTTTCTTCAATGTATAGTTGCCCGCAGGATCAAGATCATATTTTGTATACTCCTGCGGAGTGGAGGTTGACTTTTAGGATTTCTAAGATTTGTCCTATCTTTTTGGGTGGTTTGAAGACAGTTCGGATATTGTGTTTGTTTAATATCTTTTGCCAATCCGATCTGTTGTTCCTTTGACATATGGGAGAATGGATAGGATTCTTTCGTCTGGTTGTGTGTCAGAGACTGTTGTCTGCATATTTATTGATTATATTTTGGTTATATCTTTTTTGTCGTATCCGTTTTTTTGTAAGCTGTAAGTGGTTGAGTTCTGTCTGATCCAGCTAACAAAGGCAACACGACAGCAATCATGAACACATCAAATATACTATAAGAAAAAGAACCTTCTCTCGGACAAAGCATACAAAAAGTTTGACAAAGATCCAACTAATACAATCGCACAGAACACCAAGATCCTAATAGAGAAAAGCAACATTCCCAATAAAACCAAATCAACATTAAAACCTATAAATCCTCTCCCATCAAGATTATACGGACTATCAAAAGTACACAAACTAAACATCCCTCTCAGACCGATTGTCAGTACCATACATTCCCCGATATACAATTTATCCCGCACAAACACTACAATCGATGTGATCTTGATTTGACCTTGGCGACACCATCCAAGGTCAAACTGATGTAATTAGTAAATAGATTTTTTTAAACCCTACAACTTTTGTTTGAAACATTTTTCTCAAGAATGCTTAATTTTCAAAATATTGAAGGATTTCCACTCTTTTGACATATCCTGTATACTAAATGTATAGGGTGTTGCAGATACATACTAAGCAGTACGATGGGTTGCGTGGGAAACTTTGTAGGGGCAGTCACGGTTCAGTAGATAATGATGGCAACTTTATATTAACAAATCTAGGAGCGTGCTTATGATGGATTTGGATAACACTCTGATCATGAAAAGGAGCCAAAACGATAATTAAAGATGAAAAAGCAAATTTAAAAAATGTTACGCAATAAAACATTTTTCATATAAGAGCGTCATATATAAATATATATTATATAAACATATAATTATATACGAAAAATATTTCCATATATCCTTCTTTCTTTCTAAAATTACTGTTTGAGAAAAATAATTGTTTGACAAGAAAAAAAATAATATTGAAAAAACAAAAAATAATGAAAGGAATAAATTTTGCATTGTTTCTTTCACGAATTCTATATTGAAAAAATGAAAAAGAATTGCTCAGATATAATTTTATATAAATCATAATTGCTTATTTAAAAAATTATTCATTTTGCATACACATTTTTTTTAAAACAACTATGTGTTTTCTTTACATCAATTGATTCATCTTATTATTCTGTTCATAAAAGTATTAAGATACGGTTATCCAAAAGTTAATAATTCACGAGTTATGTAACATTTTATGTCAATATGTGTCAGATAAAGTATCTCGTAAACTGTTTTGATTTTTTTTTTATCACTATCTTAATACTTTTATATGCAGAATAATTAGAGGAATCATACTGTGTTAAAAAAATTATACTATTCCATTTTAAAAAGTGGAGATGATCTTTATATTTTGGTGCTTCCATCTAGAAAACATGACCAAAATACATCCCCCTCGAAATCGTTCCACTGTCATTTAAAATATTTTTTTATATTATCAAAAATAAGCGAGATATTTCAAATAGTCGATTTAAGTGGATCATTCTGTATATGTACCTGAATATAAAATATTTGCAAATTAAGTATAAAATATAATA